TATGTCTCCATTGCTTTGCTCTGTAATATGGTTAGAGATGTCTAAATGCTTGATGTATCAGCTTTCCTGGTTTCCACAAATAATCTTTTGGCCTGGTTTTCCTCCGTTTGGGATTTGGGTGTGTGGGGAGGTTTTCCTTTCCTGAATTAAAAAATGCAGAGGCTCAGAGAGAAAACTCTCTCTCTCTCTCTTTTCTTGTTGTATTTGAAACACAGCCTTGGTGTCTGAAGGTACAGCGGTCATCTTGTGACTGTGAGGCCACCAACATAAGCATAACAAGCTAACGACACAGAAACATTTCAGACTTTATTGCAAAGCTCTGTAAGGAAGGCCTACCTTTGCATTTTTATAAATTTTATTTTTGACGATGTTCCCATAGTTGATTAGAATAGGAAGGGTCCAGGATCAGGGAAAAATGGGTGAGATCTCTGTTTCACATTCTCCTTTCCTTCCTCCTCTATCTGGAGAACAGAGAGAGACAAGGGGAGAAGTCAAACTCAGCCTCCCAACTGCCTTGCACTTGGGGATAGGTAACAGCCACCCAGTGTCATCCCAAAGTCCCCGAACTGCAGTGTGCCCCAAGGGTTCTGCTCAAGTGGCTAGGATAGTTCTGAAATGCTGTCAATCTCACAGATGCAAGGTTGAAGAAATCCTTACAATGTCCATTGGCTGACACAGTCCATCTCTGGGTCTCTGTTTGCTCAGATATTTGCTGTCTTGCTTTACTGGGGATAATTGGTCAATTTGTTCTGCCCTCCTTCCTCTGCCATGGTACAAGGTGTCCTCTGTAGGCTCCGGTGTTCTGACGTATCATACATATGCCTCTGTGTGTGTCATTAAGGTCTGGTTTTGACACTTGACTCCATTGTCAGACCACAGGTCCTGCCACTCTCCCCATGGTTGGAGTTATGAGTCCAGTGATTTCGTTGTGAGGACCCTCAAAGAAATCTCATCTGTGGTGGTCTCAGACCTGTCTCACGTGTGCTCCCACCTGTATGGGTTCCATTTCACCCTGTCACCCACATCAGCCTATGTCCACACTGGTAGTTGCAATTACTACTACCTTCACATTTTTCATAAAGGACTGATATGCCCCCATTTGTTTCAGACACTTGCATACTTTTTTGCTACCTATAGTCAAACATAATAGCAAAAAAGATAGGAAAGAAACATTAATTTTTATCATGATGCAGGTCTACCAAATTTATTTTCCATGCGAGAGCTGTCCTCATTCTCCTGGGGGGGGGGGGAGGTGGTCCCAACATTTAAAGGCAAAGAAACAATAATTTTTCTCTGACATTTTGCAGTTCCAGACATTTCTCTGTTTCAGAATATGCCCCATCATTTGCCTAATGAGGAAGAGTTATTGAGATATAAGGAATTCCAGCGAGAAAATTCTTTGGTTAGTTATCAAAAATATATCTCACAAGGTAGTAGAAGGCTAAGGCAGAAGCAGAATTGACAGGATGCATGTGAGTGCATCTCAGACTTCAGAGAACAGGTGCAGGCCTCACTGTGCACTGCAGTGGGAGCTAGAAGGTGATTTGGAACCAACTCGGCTCTTCTCCCAGGTCTCCATGGCTGCACCATCTCTTTGATGTGCTTCCTTCTGCTCTGTTAGAACCGGCCATTTCTGCTTCACAGAATGCAGCTGAAAACAATCACTTCAGCTCTGTCAGTTCAAAAGCAAGCCCATGGTGAACAATATTTTTTTTTACCTTTTAATTTCTCTAGTGAGAGAATTCGATTAGACCAATTTTCAGCTGTGTGTCAATCTTTGCATTAGTGACTGTGGTAAAGGGGTCAGAGGATGTAGTATTTCTTAGGAGCTAAAGGAGAATGCTCTTTTGAGAAGAGACTGTGCCTATGTGTGGGAGGTAGTGGTTGTTGGAGAAGAAACAATGGACAACTCTACTGCTCTCCTGAAATCTTCATCTGCTGGACTATAAACCCAATGAATTCAACTCCAAACACAGTAGTCTCACTTTTTCTGTATATTCTCTCCCGATGACTGTCAGCTCATTCATCTAGTTGCCCATGCCACAAAGCTCCACACACACATCACAGTAGGTATCATTTATTGACTATGAACACACACTATGTAATAGACGTTCTTCATGCATTCTTAAATTCAATACACTACTGCACCACAGGTAGGCATAATGTGTGTTGCTGATAGACAAGTGAAATCTAAAATTGTTCAGTCAATGCTTCAACGTCTCTTTTGGATTCCTAAAATAACTGTCTCTTCTCTTTGATGTTTCTCTAATTTTGCCATTTTAAACTTTAAAAAAATCTAGTACTAATAATGATATTTCTAAAACACAAAGATTATCATGTTATTTCCTTGCCTGAAATTTTTCTATGAGTCTCTCCAAATGATTTGGCATTCTTTAGAGACTTTCATAATCTGTGGAGCTGCCTTATATGTATTTTAAAGATTTCTCTTATTTACTTGAAAGGCAGAGAAGGAGAGAGAGAGAGAACAATGAAGAGTTGGAAGAGATCTTTCATCTGCTGGTCCATTCTCCCAAAGTCCATAACAGCTAGTGCTGGTCCAGGCAGCAGCCAGGAGCCAGGAACAAGGCGCTCAATCCAGGTCTCCCATGTAGAGGTAATAGGGATGCAAATAAGTCAGTCTTCTTCTGCTGCCTTCCTAGGTGCCTTGCATGGAGCTGGGTGAGAACTAGTGCAGCTGAAACTTTAACTGGCACTCTTTAGTCTGCTGTGCCACATGCCAGTTCCCAGTCAACCCGCATTCCATCCTCTTCTCTGTCACTTGACCCTCAAGCCACACATGATGTGTAGTTCTTTATGGTTCATTTTTTTTTTTTATCTCTGTGTGACTGTTTCTTCTTCCAGTTAATCCCACATATTACCACACTCAGGGTTTGGAATAGATTTTGTCCTATGTGAAACTTTCCTTGGCTGAACTGGGCACTCTTTTTTCTTTTTTTAAGATTTATTTATTTCTCTTGGAAAGGCATATTTATGGAGAGAAGGAGAGACAGAAAGATCCTCCATCCACTGGTTCACTCCCCAAGTGGCCATAATTGCCGGAGCTGAGCTGATCCAAAGCCAGGAGCCAGGAGCTTCTTCTGGGTCTCCCACGCAGGTGTAGGGTCCTAAGGCATTGGCTCATCCTTTACTGCTTTCCCAGAACATAAGCATGGACCTGGAAGGGAAGTGGAGCAGCTAGGACAAGAACAAGTGCTCCTATGGGATCTCAGTACTTGCAAGGTGAAGATTCAGCCATTGAGCCGGGCACTCATGGTGGGCCGGGCACTCTCCCTTTGTATTCTGGTATTCCTCAGCACTATTCTGTTGTATTTATCACACCATAATGTAATTATATGTTCATCTAGTATATTTTTTGCCATGACTGTAAAATACTTGAGAGGAAGGATTATTTCTGAGTGTTGAAAACCCTGACTAGAGAAGTGTTTGCATGTCATAGTTGCTTTAAATATTTTTCCTAAATGAGTGGATCTGAGGTAGAAGCCTGGATGGGTATTAGGAACAGGGCTTAAGCTTCTGTTTTGGATACCCACACCCCATATTCGCTCATCTTGTTGAGTCCTGGTTCTTCTTTGGCTCCAGCTTCCTGTTCCTGAGCACCGAGGAGGCAGCACATGATGGCTGAAGTGCTCAGGTCCTTGCCCCTGTGTGGTCTCCCACGTGGAAGTCTTCCCAAGGGATTTCCAGGCCCCTGGCATAGCCTGACTGTTGTAGGCTTAGGGGGCAAACCAGAAGATGTAAGATCTCCATTTCTGCCCCTCTGACTTCCAAGTAAAATAAAAACATAAAAAGGAAATGTTTGAAGGACATTGCAAAAGTATCTGGAGAGAAATATTCAGCCTTTCTTGTTTAGTGAGTAGATCATTCTGACAGCTGTTCCCCTTACCTTTATGCTTTTGCCTGACAAAGCAAAGCAAACGCATAAGCTAAAAAAATTAGAAAACTGCAAATACAAAATTAGTTGAGCAAATATGTCACAAAATAAGTGATGTAAGACAGTAAGCTAAGGGCCTGGAACGGTAGCCTAGTGGCTAAAGTCCCAGCCTTGCACGCTGGGATTCTATATGAGTGCCGGTTCTAATCCTGGCAGCTCCACTTCCCATCCAGCTCCCTGCTTGTGGCCTGGGAAAGCAGTCGAAGATAGTCCAAAGCCTTGGGACTCTGCATCCATGGGGGAGACCCAGAAGAGGCTCCTGGCTCCTGGCTTCAGATTGACTTAGCTCTGGCTCTTGCGTTGTGGTCATTTGGGAAGTGAATCATTGGATGGAAGATCTTTCTGTCTTTCTTCTCTCAGTAAAATAAAAAGTAATTTTTAAATTGAAAATAATTTTCTTTTCAATAAAAAATAATTTAAAAAACAGTAAGCCAAAAGTACCAACTCCAAAATAAAATAAACTGAATGGAAGACCAGATTATGAGATTGGGGAAGAAAAAGCAAGGAACTCAGTTTTTTTTTTTTTCAGAGTTTACTAAATGGAATGTATTTCCCTGACCTGTGTTAAAGATCAGGCAATTAAAGTTCACACTAGAGCAAAATAAAGTGAATGATCTTACATGTTTGATACAACAAATGTCCTTTAAATAAGAAACAAATACAGGATACATGTACTACATAATAAGTAAATCTAGAGTCATCTTCAAGTTGTACCATTAATTCAGGTCAAATTTCTTTCAATTTTCCAATGTTTCACCTTTCTTACTAGAGCAAAGAGGATAGTAGCAGGTTTTCTGCCAAATCCGGGAGTTCAGTAAGAGCCAGATGAGATGCAGGTGAAAACATTTCTCAAACATTTGGGAAAACGCTGTGAACTGTTTTAGTAGCTGGCCGTGAAAACAAACTGCAAGTTGGGTCCCTGGGGCTGAGGAAACCCGGAGCCCGTCGCTAGGGAGGGGAAGCCGCGGGTTGCCAGGTGACGTCATTACTCTGCGCCGGGCACCGCGGTTTCCTACCTGGTCCCAGGGCAGCGTTTCGCGCCATGGGGTCTTGGCAGCGTTTGTTGCGCCTTGGAGGGACGTCGCTTTTGGGGGGTGGCGGGGCCGCTGCCCTGCTCGGGGGAAGGAGAGTGTTGGTGTGTCGGCGCCAGGTCCGTGGTGCTGCGGGGCCGCGGGAGGCGGGCGGGGAGGCTCTGCCTGGCTGCAGGGCCGCGGGTGCCCGGGCGCTGCCCCTGGACTGCCTCAGTTTTGGGGCCGTGCCCACTGGCGACTCCGTAGGTGCTCTGTCAGCTGCACGTGCCCACTTCCCACGGGGGCGCCCAGCGTGGTCAGGCAGAGGCGCCTCGGGGCCGGAAGCTGGTCTTTAGAACGTGGAAGTGCAGTGCACCTCGCCAGGAGGGTAGGCAGAAGGAAAACACGTGGAGGGTTCAACGCCACAAAGAGGCACCCGACTTTCCATGTTTAATTCAGCTCCTGCAGTATGTTCTGCAGTTGTGACAGTAGTAATAGGTACTGAATTAGCACTGAAGGCTGAACTAATATTTAGTCCCCTTAATGGCAAACTCCTAATTTCTACTTCTGTAGTATGAAAAAAGAGGTGGTTATTCTTTTTTTTTTTTTAAAGTTATCTGGTGCTGACAGCAAGACCATGGAACAAAGAAGAGTTCAAATCATGGCCCGCGGACTTCCGAAGCAGAGACCCATAGAAGGTGTTAAGCAAGTTGTGGTTGTGGCTTCTGGCAAGGGTGGAGTTGGAAAGTCAACTACAGCAGGTATCATGGGATGTTAATTCTGGTCCCCATTAGGGATTTATGCTCACACCCAAGTACATGCTCGCAACATAATGGCAATCCTAAGCCCTGATTCCTTAGTAGTAGGTGTTAGCAGTTGTAGGAGTTTTAAGTCTTTAGAATTAGATACAAACAGATAAGAGTGGCCTGGGAAAAGTGGCCTAAGATCTTGGGAACCTGCACCTGCTTGGGACACCCGGAAGAGGCTTTGGGCTTCTGGCTTCAGGATCGACGCAGCTCTCAGGCCATGTGGCCACTAGTGGAGTGAACTAGTGGATCTTCCTCTTCCTCTCTCCTCATCTCTGTCTGACATTCCAATAAAAATAATGTATAAATCTTAAAAAAAGATTTCCTAATTGGGTAAATATTGGTCAGAGTGTCGGGCAGATTGGCAGTTCACTTATAGGTAAAAAGGGGTTAGATGATGCGAGCATTTTTTAATAGGAAGACTGTGCAAATTCAGTCAGCTGACCACTTAGCCCCGCATCTCCTGCATTGTAAGTGTTCAGTGATTGGTTGCTGTTGCTGTTAAACTGTGGAGTAAATTTAATTGTAAATCATTTCTGGTCTTTGATTTTCCTTTCTGTCTTCTCTCAGTGTGTCAACAGCCACATATCTGTAATTAGGTTGCTTGTTATTGTGACCTTTTTGCATTTAACTGTAATGTATTTTTCACAATTCCTAGTCTGTGCAGATACAACATTTGAAAGGTGCTGAAGGGTTTTAATATTGTCTTAAGAACCCACAACAGTGTCCTCTAGCTTGTCTAGCTTATCTGAATGTGCTGTGAACAGTGAATGTTGTTCGTAGCCCTTTTTATGGATTGTAGTTGCTCATAAAATGCTGCTTTCAGAATCCAGACAGGAAGTGCTGCCAGAAGTAATCAAGACTGCATAGCATGTGTCCAGAATTGTCCAAAAGGAAATATCCACTTTTTAAAAGATCTTTCTAGCATAATGATATACATCTTTTTTAAAATGTATTTTCTTATTTACTTGAAAGGCAGTTAGAGGGAGAGAAAATGAGGGAAATAGAGCTTCTGTCTGCTAATTCACTGCCCAAATGGCCACGGTTGTCAGGACTAGGCTAAGCCAAAGGCAGGAGCCAGGAACTCCATCTGCCTCTCCCATGTGGGTACAGGGGCCCAAGCTCTTGGACTGTCTTATAATGCTTTTCTAGGCCATTAGCAGGCAGCTAGATTGGAAGTGTAGCAGGTGGGAGTTGAATTGGCACTCATAGAATGCTGGCACTGCAGATGGAAGCTTAACTTGTTATTTCACTGTGCTGGCTTCTTGTGTGTTCTTTAAAAGCTTCATGTGTGTAATTTTAAATAACTTTAAATTTTTCATTAGTGTTTGGCAAGTACAACGTAGTTTGCAGATAGAATTCTGAGATCATGAAATTCTCTTCTTTCCCTTTGTCTCTCTCCATTCTACCCTTTCTGTTAATTTTTGATATATCATATTTTAAACTTAATTGAAAAAGGTTAATGCTTCTTCAAATTAGAAGTTTAGCAAGGAAAAAGCAAAAATATCCTCGTTAACTGGGAATATGGACAACAACTATAAACACTAACTGAACGGAGGGGTTAGCGTCTTGGTGTAAGCCTCTGCCTGTGATGCTGGCATCCTATGTGGTCATCAGTTTGTGTCCTGACTGCTCCGCTTCTGATCCAGCTCCCTGTTTATTGCCTGAAAAAATAGCAGAAGATGGCCTAAGTCCTTGGGCATCTTCACCACAATGGAGAGCTAAAAGAAGCTCCTGGCTCCTGGCTTTGGATTGGCTCAGCTAGGTCTTTGCAGCTGTTTGGAGAGTGAGTTGCTGGGAGGAAGATCTCAGTCTCTCCTCTTTGTAACTTTGCCTTTGAAGTAAATATAAAATAAAATCTTTAGAAAATAATTGAATGGAAAAATGATCATTTCACCCATGTGTGGTAAATTTTAAAGTAATCGCAGCTTAAAACTGTAGTAGTATAAAATTCTTAGCCATTGGTTTAACAAAAATATAAAACAAAGTTCTATGAAACTATATTGTAGTAATACTGATACATAGAAATTTCTTTTGTTCTTTTAATATTTATTTATTTTGGTTGGAAAGTCAGATATGCAGAAAGAAAGAGAGCCAGAGAGGAAGTTCTTCTGTCCACTGATTCACTCCCCAAATGGCCGTAATGGCTGGAGCTGAAGCCAGAAGCCAGGATTCAGGAGCCCTCTCAGGGTCTCCCATGTGGGTGAGGGTCCCAAGGCTTTGAACTATCTTTGACTGCTTTCCCAAGCCACAAGCAGGGAGCTGGATGGGAAACCAGGCCACCAGGACATGAACCGGCATCTGTATGGGATCCCAGCGTGTGCAAGGTGAGGACTTTAGCCACTAGGATACTGCGCTGGGCCTATTACAAAGAAATTTCCAGCATGTTTGTCATTTTAAATTTTAGCTCCCACATGTAAGAGATGACTTGTGGTTATTGTTTTTCTGAGTCTGTCATATTTCAGCCAATATGCTCTGGTTGTGTTCATTTTGCTCCAAATGTTAGAATTTCATTTTTTTTTAAATAGCTACATAAAATTACCCATAGCTATATAGATAGAGCCATATCTATGTGGGTATGTTTACCCATAGCTATATAGATAGAGCTATATATCCACATATACATATATCAGCTTTTCTGTATCCATTCATTTGATGTTGGACATGTTGGTTAGTTACAAATTTTGGCTATTGTGAATAGTTCTTCTGTAATCATGTTGGTGCAGGTATCCTTGATTCATTGTGTTTAAATAGTGGGATTGCTTGATCTCATGGCAAGTTTCTTTCTTTTTTTTTCTTTTTAAATATTTATTTTTATTATTTTTTTGTATTGGAAAGACGGATATACAGAGAGGAGAGACAGAGAGGATCTTCCGTCCGATGATTCACTCCCCAAGTGAGCGCAATGGCCAATAACATGCCAATCCGAAGCCAGGAGCCTCTTCTGGGTCTCCCACGCGGGTGCGGGGTCCCAAAGCTTTGGGCTGTCCTCGACTGCTTTCCCAGGCCACAGGCAGGGAGCTGGAAGGGAAGTGGGGCTGCCCGGGATAGAACCGGCGCCCATATGGGATCCCAGGGCGTGCAAGGTGAGGACCTTAACCACTTGCGCCACCGCGCCGGGCCCGGCAAGTTTATTTCTAGTTCTTTAAAAAAATTATTCTATTTGTTTTTTATTGGAAAGTCAGTTCACAGAGAAGAGAAAGGAAGAGAGCTTCTATCCACTGGTTCACTCCCCAAATGGTGGAAAATGGCCAGAGCAGTGCTGATCCGAAGCCAGGAACCAGGAGATTTGTCCAGGTCTCTCATGCGGGTGCAGGGTCCCAAGGCTTTGGGCCATCCTCCACTGCTTTCCCAGGCCACAAACAGGGATCTGGAAGGGAAGTGGAGCAGCGAGGACATGTGTTTGGGGTTCTGATTTGTGCAGTGCGAGAATTTAGCCACTGAGCCATTGAGCCAGGCCCAATACCTGGGAAATTTTTAACCATTGCTTTATTTAGCAGGTTCTGAACACTTTTTCCATTTTTTTTTCTTCCATGGATACCTATAATATAAGTATTTTGTCATTTAGTGGTATGTCATATTTTGTATAGACTTTATTCTTTTTAATTCTTTTCTCTTTACTTTTGCCTGATAGGGTTATTTCAGAATTCCTTATATCAGAGATGTTTTGTTTCAGTAGATCACTTCTGCTGTTACAAGCTTTCAGTCATATTCCTTGTTCATGGATTGAAGATTTCATCTCCAAAATTTCTGCTTGCTTCGTTTTGATGAGTTCTGTCTTCATAGTGGTATGCTCATTCATGTCAGTAATTGAGTTCTTCATTTCTTTAATGTATCTGTGTTTTCTTGTGTCTCGTTGAGTTTTCTTAAAATTGTTATTTTTAATTCTATACCTATTATCTCATAGATTTAAGGATATAATTCTGGAGGGTTTTATTTTATTTTATTTTTTAGAATTGTGTTCTTTTCGAGACATTGGACCTTGCTCCTTGATGTCTTCTGTGTCCCCTATACTGACATCTGCACAAGTGGGGTACTCATGCATTCTTTTTGATGTGGTAAGGTTTTGTTGGAAATGAGTTTATATGGTTTAGTTGGAATATAAGGTATCACTTGGCTTGTTGCTTTGACTCTGGTTCTGAATGAACCCAGGAGTGTATGTAGTCTTTGAGTGATTTCTTTTTATGTTAATCAGTGCTAACTAAGTCACACAGTGGTCTTGTCTGCTTAACAGGGATAGAAGTGTGGCTTTGAGATGAGTTCAGATCATCCTGGGAATGTATCTTTATTCTGCACAGAGTTCAATGTCTGTCTCCCTGGTGAATGTGATGCCCGGGGCCTTGTTCTTGGTGCTGGGGAATACAGGTGTAGCTGTTCCCTTTGCTGCTGGGAAGCCTGAGTGATGCCAGGGCTTGTGGTACCAATTGCTGCACCTCTAGGGCTGTGTGATATGGGTGGACCCTTCCACAGGGTCTGCTAGGAGTTGAGCTCTTGCTCTGGTTTGTAATGGCAATAGCCTTAGTCCTAGGATTATGTGATGTGAACTGAACCCTGTTCCAGTCCTACAGGATGACTCCAGGGTATACAGGAGGGTATGAGTTCAGAGAGCTGAATGTGTGTAGAGTCTTCCCCCCGTCCACCATGTACATTCCAGTGGCACTGAGAAATTTAGAGCAAGTTGGCATAGTCCTGGTCTTGCAGCCAGTCACATCACCCACGGCAGCAGCAGATTTGTTTTATGGGCTGCTTCTGGTGTTTGTCCCTAGTAACTAAGATGAATCCCTATGGCTCACATAGAGTCCATGAACATAGCTTTGGAGATAATGTCCATAAAGTCCCATAGTTCTGGGGTGTGGGATCTGCCCTCTTTCCCATGCTCTGTATGGATGGGAGAGGGGAGGAAAGCATTGTACCCGTCTGCTTGAAGCCTGGCAGCTGCTCAGTCCTCATTGAGC